CCTTCTTGTAGATGGGCATCACGTTTGCAATATCTGAAATAATTTTACTCCAGAATTGTATGTTTATTTCAACTTCTTGCAGTCTATATTAAAAATACTGGTTTCCCCATTTGCGAATACTAGGAAATACTAATCTGCATTTCAATGTATTAATTTCTTTATAATGTCAAAGTGCTTGTGCTGTAATGAATTTATGATTCAGAAACTGAGCCTTCTGTATGTTGTTTATGTGAATGTTATAATTCTGGATTTTTCACTTATAAAAATCCTTGCTTTGAATAATATGTGTTAGAAGTTCCTCTTGTATTTTTATTATGGTATGTTTTTTACTTTATATTTGTCTAAAGGAAGCCACCGGAGTTCAGATTGCAGTGAAGGGAGAGACGTGGAAATGCCAATGCCAGTAGAAGGTTAGAGATATTAAATATTTTTAATGAGATGAATTTAACATCATTGGATTTTTTTTTTTACAGAAGTACTTGAAAAGATGAGACCTTAAAAGTTGCACATCTTCTCGAAGCATTCTCTTTCCTTATTTCCACAATGTTGGTTTTTGGTTTTATTTTGCTTTTAATCCCAATCACGCCACTCTGTGGCTTGCCATGAGCAAGTTGTGGTGCTTGCCTTCTCTTAAATCATAAATTGCATTTGTAAGGTGCTTGTCACCAAACATTTAATGATTTGACATGATGCTAAAATTACATCGTTCTGCGGCTAGTTGCATTCTGACTACTTGACTCTCAAACCTGAATCATGAGTATTTTTTGCTTTTTCAGACTTTGCTTTGGATTTGACTCTGTAGATTTTTATAGCTACAGATGCTAAGTGTGGCCCTGTGTGTCAGAATATGATTTTGTTACGCACCCTTTTCTCAAAGCTGTTCTCCTTTACACATTTCTATAAGAGATGTGCTGAAAGTTGCAGCCTGGTTTTCCTGACTAGAATAAACCTATCTGTGAAGGTTAGTATTTATGAAAATTGCAGTTAAAAACTTAAATTTCATTTGATGTTTAAATAGCCATACAGTGTAGGCAGTCTTGTCTGGACTCTATAAAACAATATTACTTATTGTTGATCTTTACAAAGATGAGTAAGAAAGAAAAACTGATAACAGTGCTTGGATTTTATGAAATCTGGTGTATATCCTTCTAATCATTATTCAAGAAATACATGTAATAGACATTTAAATACATACAACAGGCATCTTCTGAAAGTTTGTTTGAAAGCTGCAGCCTGTGATGCAGAAGTGTTTGCTTTCTGCAAAGGAAAACATCGGAGGGGTGTACGAACATACCTTTTGGTGCATATCTCTGGGAATGGTCACTGTTTGTCCACTTCAGTAACCTTGACAAAGTGGTGAAAAAGGGAATGGCAGAATTAACGCACGTCTGGAATCGCCCACATTAGCTGGAGATGATAAAGATGTCCGAGATCTTGGAGGGAATGTATGTGTGTGTATGTGGTGTGTGGTGTGATTGGCATTCAGCAGTCAGAAAGTTGGGTTTTATGTGCATCGAAATAAATTGTCTTAAACTCAATAAAATCACATTTGAGAAGCTGGAGACAGTGCCAGTGAACGACAGCATTACAACTGAAGCAGGCTGCTGCTTAGGGACTGTGTGTATTTACCTAAGATGAAGAAATACCTAGTGATGATAATACATTGTTTAAAAAACCCTTACTCTAGTGTTTAAACTAGTTGGTTTAATGTGACGTAAGAAGACATGGCCTGTTTGGGAGTTTTCTTCCAGAACTTTGTTACCATTTGCTTTGACGTTTTTGCATATTTCTCTTAGTTACGACTGTTTCTCAGGGATTTGGTATGGGACTGGATGGACCTTTTGCCAGTCTTTGTGGCTGTTCTTAAATTTTCAAAAATTGTTGTGTTTGTTGTTTGTTGTTTTGGTTTTGGTTTTGTTTTTTTTTAAAAAAAACAACTTTCCTGAGAGCATGAGAAAAGGTTCTAAGGGCTCGGTTGCTGTAATAGTCATTTTTATAACCATACTATGTTCACATCTACTGAAAGACCATTACCTCCCAATTCTTCCCTTTTGTTGTGCTTTCCATTTGCTAGTTATCTACCCAGCACTCCTTCTGCATTAAATCAAAACATCATACAACATTTTCCATTAACTAGATGATATATTTGACAAATATACTCCAGTTAACATGTCTCAGTAGATACTGCTGAATCTCTGCTGTACACAACATCACGTGAAGAGCCTTTGAAATGGGGATTCCTTCAGACTTGCTCTCAAAGTGATATCATATTTCCAGCTTGCAAATATCTGAAACAAGATATTCTTCAATGCACAGCGTTTCTTTGCCAGGATAATTAAAATATATTCCTTCATATGTGGTTTTGAAAGAGGTTCCAATATAATTAGCTTCACTTTTTTGAACTGTACTGCAGTTAAATACAAATTGCTTTCTCCCAACGAGTATTGATAGGCCTAATCCTATTTATGTTGGTGCAGGCTGCCCCAACGAAAGCATTGTGATTATGAATTTCCTTCTCATTTCTCTCTCTTGGCCTTGCAGCTTCATATGAAAATCATTATAATGCAACAACTATGAGTCTGTATAAGTGGTAAAGGAATATATCATCTGTAGGGGCACATAGCCTTTGTTTATATTTTCAATAATCCTTGATAACAAAGAGAAATATTTATGATTGTATTAATCCTATTAAGCCAGGAATAAGGAATTTCCCACTGTCATTAGCACTTACTCTGCACTGCTCCACACGCAATTTAGCAATTATAATCCCCACGTCCTTACCCTGGTCTAGGATTGCTTAAAGGCTTATGGTAAAATATCTGTGCTTCTGTTTTTGATGCATGCTGTGAGTGCAAAACATTTCAGTGAGCCAGGGGGATTCTTTGACAGGTGTTAGTTTAGACACAAACTCACGGAGTGTTTGGTTAAAGATCTTTACTGTGTGCATCCTTCAGCAGTCCTGTTTTTCCCCCTTCAGATTCCTCCCAGCATGCCACTTCAGAAACAAGTGAGGATCCTGAGGTTGAGGTCACCATCGAAGGTTAGTTCTCCAGTTCATTATTTTCAGCCCATTGGGCATTTTTATGTCCAAAACATGTTTTACAATGCCTGCATTACTTGGCACTGAATGAATAGGATTGTGTGCCAGTTTGGATCGTGCAAATTACTATAATTCTGTTTTTATCTGTAATGTAACATCCATCAGTTTTACACTGTTTTGAAACTGGCTTTAGCACCTGAGAGCTTTTCAAGATAAAACTTAGGTACTGTGTTTCAAGACTTATTAGTGAATGGATACTTCCAATTAGATAAAATGTGTAGTCTATGTCTGCACGATTTATTTCCCGATGTCTTTTACTGTTGCGTGGTCATTTTATGGTCATGCTATGTCCAGTCGTGTTTCAAAGCATGATACTGTTTTTCTTAGGAAGTACAGAAGAAGCTTTGCTCTTTAACAATCTTATGCATTGTGCTGACTGTCTTACACATATTGTTCCTACACAAGCCAGGCTTTTTAAAGTTATTCAGATAAGTACGTTGCACAATTTGATGCCCTTAGTTATTCAGATAAGTATGTTGCCCCAGTTTGATGCACAGCTCAATAGTGGCATTAGAGCTTTGAAATTCAAAGCAGTTCCGATGTCGTATGTGAGGTCTCTGGAGATTAAAACAGCGATATTTTAATGTTTCTTTAAGATGATGATGATGAGGAGTACTTGCCCCCTAACAAGAGATCAAAGACCGAGTCAGCTAATGAAGCTGTCAATACTGGGAGAAGAAAAGCGAGAGAGTTCAATTTTGGTAAGATAAAAATGAAACTTTCTTTCGTGTCTCTGCTCTGTTTCATAAAAAGTGTCACACAATTGCACACTGCAGGAGTGAGACACGCCAGTGTGTGTATTCATTTGAGGGCCCAGGGCTCTTTGTAGATGTATTGCTGCAGTATAATCATCACCATAGGCTACCTCTGTTGTTTCTCGTTATTCTGATGACCATCTAAACAGACAATGCGAATAATTTAACAAAATATAAATAAATCTAGATTTCTGTCCGTGGATTTCTCGGACAAGAAGGTAAGACTAAATTTACGAGTGTACTGAATTATGGCCAACGGGAGGTCAGGAGCCTGGCTAGCTGATCTTTCTTGGTACTTACTGTGAGCAGTGAAGATGTGCTGAGGGGGGGAGCCACATTTGGGAAGGTAACCGAATGACTCTGTTATGCTGAGTAGCCTGCTTGATCCCTGTGGACACACAAAGTTGGAGTCTTCTTGGTAGTGTTCTTTCATGATACCCGATACGGAATTCTTGCTGAAGAAATGCGTCCACACACTGGTTATTCTGGTTAAAGACACCTCCTGTGTGGTTTGTTGCAGCCCCATACCTCTTCTTTATATCTTGTTTTGGTTTGCTTTCTGGGCAGATATTCTGTGAATCTGTGTACTTCTATAAGGTTGTGCGCAGTCAGGAATATGTCCTTTGGCACATATTGGTTTGAGATGTTTGTTGAGATTTGAGGTCAATTGAAAAATCCCTGTGGAACCTCTTCTGACAACGTTTTGTGTGAAACATGGTATTTCATGCTCATTTCAGTGAGAATGAATAAAATGTTGTTGAGAGCTCTATTCTCAAAAGATCATTGATACTAATACGCAGTTCCACATGCAGCATTGGTTAGTTTTGGTTGGGTCAGGAGAACATAATGGCAACATTAGTAGAGGAGAAGATTGAGCAGTTAATACTGCCAAAGCTTTTGCTAGAATATATTCCCTTAGTAGAAAACAGCATCTAAGCTTGGCAGGAAATAAACAGCGAGGATGATTAGAGCAAAGGTAATAATAAAATGTTAGAATGATACAAATTTGAGTTGAGCTTGCAGTGCTGAAACATGGATTAAACATCTCAAGCTTACCTGCTCACTATTGCTTCTGAGTTGACTTTGCTCTTAACTGTCTGCCACACAGTTAGATTACAGTGTTTTTCAGATCATAGATTATTCAAATATCTTTATTCCTGGGCTTCCTAAATTGTATTGAGGTTATTGCCCCTCATATTAACTTTTGGGGTTCACCTACAGAAAGTGGTATTTCTCTACAGTGTTGCCAGGTCTGGTTAAAACACAAAATGAGTATGAGAAGCTTTGTAGAGGTAGACTTCATTTGCTGTAATGGAAAAAAGAGCTGCTGTTGGTAGTTGCAGTGCTGCTGTTTGAACATTTCAGAAGACTTTACACCTTTGTCTAATGAAGTCTAATATTAGATAGTTGGACAGGAGAAAGGAGGTGTTTAATTCTGTCAGGAATACATGCAGAATGACAAAGGCACATGCACTCAGAGGACTGGAAAGGAGGTACAGATACTCGAGAGAGAAATCTGTCTCATCTGATAAGGACTTTCAGAATTTGACACAGAACTGATGGGACCCAGATGTTAGATAGCTGTGAGCTGGAGAGGCTTCCTGTATGTCTCGATCTCGGCAGAGATCAGGTACCCCAAATGGCCCAAGAAACAGGGTGCATAATGTGCTGTGCTCTCAGTTTTGTGGAAACAGGAGGACAAAGTGGGAAACAAAATAATTGTAACCAGGGAGAAGAATGAAAAGTGTAAGGTAAAATGCTTGATAGAAATTGATAATCTATGGGAACGGAGGTTGGATTTCAAAAATACTTCTGAACCAACTCTTTAAGGTTAAAAATATCTTTGCTGAAAGGAACTGACATTGTCAGTAAAAATCTCTTCCCACAATGTGTTTTTTTTCTTTCTTAGAGATTTCATCAAAAGCTCAGAAGCTTCAAGTTGTGTCTTGCAGTTGTATTGTACTGTTTTAGTGGAAAAAACGTCCCCTTAGTTCTTGTCTCACTATGGCACTGATGGAAAGTGTAGATCTTCCCCATTTCGACACACCGTTGAACACAGGTTTTGCTAGCCTGTGGCATGCTTAGAGTTGCTGTGTGTTTTTCTTTTTAATTCCCTGCAGAGTGTGGCATGGTGATGGCAATAGGAACGTGCCTAGTACCTGAGCATCGTTTTGTGTGTCCTGTGCAGGTTGCCCCTTCTGTAGTGGATGTTATCTGGAGCATGTCCGCAAGGAGCTGAGAACGGGATAAATTGAAGAGAGTATGGATGGACTGGGGAAGTTTTCAGGGTTACTGTTTAATTGGGATGGTGTTTCCCATGTACCAGAAGGTGTATACATAGGAATAAAAGGAAACTACCACTTATCTTGGTGCCTATGGGAAAACTAAACTGCTCTGTAGAGAGTGATTACCAAAACAGAGTATCAACGTAGCTTTGCAGTAAGTCTTCAACTTGAAGCCCAAAGTGTGTGACAAAAGAATGTTTTTGCAGTGATTGATCTGAATTCAAGACAACTGATTAAAAACCAATTGACAATCTGACAGTCTGATTAAAAATCATGCTGGTTACCTAATAACCCCTCTGAATTTTGAAATACCTCTGTAGCCTAACTTGACAATTCACTCATAAAATACTAAAGTAGCTACAACAAACAGTGTGCTGATCCAGGTGTGAGCCAGTTATGATTATTTGTTTCTCAATTGCCTATTATCTGTGTATCCACCATTCGGAATAAACGTGCCTGTATTGTGGCATATTTGATTATTAATCCCCCCTGTAGTGTTTCCATTGGAGGGAGAGGTGCATGGAAGGAGTTGCTTGAAAAGATTCACTTGGAATATTTGGGCAGTGACTGTGGGGTTTAGTAACAGAGAAACAAAGCCATGACAAGTTAATGGCTCATGTAGGAACACTCTTGTGAGTGTGCTAATAAGCAAAGGGAAACCAGGTTGCGTGGGAGCAGCTTCTCCTAAAATTACAGCAGCAGCAACCAACATTCAGAACAGTATTATTTGGGTACTTTTCTATGGTTGCTTTGTAATATGGTATGACGTTCTTTCTGGCTCTTCTCTCGGACAAAAGCCAGCCTGAGTTTTCGAGAAGCTTGCTTGCTGAGTCTGCCTCAGAGCTTGGTGAACTGAAGGGATCTCAACTCTGTGACAGGTTCTTCTAGGTTGTAATCTGGAGTCACGCAGGTGCCTTTCAAAACCCTTGCCGTAGGACTGTCCATATTTGTTCTCTGGCTCTGTTGAGTAAATCAGGGTTTCCCCTTTAGGCCAGGAATTTCTGACTTGTATTTTTCTGACTCTTACTGGTAATGCTGCTGTTAATCCATTGTTCTGTAGGTCAACAAAAAATGCAGTTGGTAGTTGTGCTGGAACCAGAAAGAGCTTCATCTGGCTGTACACCTGCAGTTAATGGGGGAAATATTACAAGAGGCACAGGAATGGAAGACATTGAACTCAAGACATTTTTATCAACTGAAAAGCTGTGCACTACAGGATAGCCGTAAGAAAGGTGGCAGAAGCAATTATATAGATTAATCCACAAGGATGTTCTTTCAAAATACGAACAGGTTAATTGATGTAGGTGATATGCCAAGTAACTCGAATGAATAGTTCGTGTGGATGCAAGGCAGCATGCCAAAACACCCTTTCCCCTCTGAACAAGGTCTTTTTCTTGCCTACATCTGAAGCGTGCTGTCCTCTTGATATCCATGAAATTACATTTAAAAATAAGCCTAAACATGGCCACCAAAGTTGTGTACGTTGGTCTGTGGATGAATATTTTAAATCCCTTTCGATATGGATTCAAAATTGAATCCTCTGTCTTGTCTGATACAAGAATTTTTTGACAACTAGAAGTGTAATAGCTTGAATGGCTTCATTTTTTGGCCTTTGTAGTTAATAGGTTCAAATCTTTGGTGTCAGGAATAAGCTGTAAGTACATTTGCTTCTTAATTCATTCTAAAAAGGCCAGCCAGCATCTGGTACCATCTACAGAAGAGTTGTGGCATTTTCCTAAAAGTGTTGAGGTAGTACAGAAAGCTCTCTGAAAACATGTGCTCTTTGTCACAAGCAGAACATTAGATGTTAAAATTCTGCTGTTTAATGCAGCTCTCCATGGAGCACATGATTGGATTTGGATAACTTCTGTCTTGCAGCCTGTGTCTTCTTTCAAAAGTGGGATTTATGGAAGTTTTGCAACATCAAGACTTGGAGGAATACTGGATTAATGTGGAGGATGGCACAGTGCCTCCTGACCCAGATAGTTGTAAGGATTTGCACCCAAACAACTTCATGTACTTGCTGTAAGCTTTATCAAGATTCACTGATTAAGCTTTTCAGTGCCCAGATTTAGATAACTGTCAACAGTGGCTGCAAACTGACTTTACCCCTGATGGCAGTGAGAGCTGCTAAAGTTACTAGTTACTTTAGCCTGGGGTTTTTTGTGGGTTTTTGTTGTTGTTGTCGTTTGTTTGTTTGGGGTTTTTTGTTTTGGTTTGGTTGTTTTGGTTTGGTTTTTTTATCTTGGTTTAACATCTGCACAGGTTTTAGAGGTAATCCTAAACATTTCATTCTGTCCTTTTACTTTCTGAATGTGTCGATGTGTTTTAAGGTATGCCTCTGCCGTACTCCACGGTTACCTCTATGCCAGTGAGCAGCAAAAGCACACTGTGTATTTCAGTTAGTGGTGACATAGATTTTACAAGATATTCTCAGCTTTGTTTGTAGTCTGACCTGTCCTCCTCTTCTTTGCAGAGAAGTGGAATGCGCGAATTACAGAGTTGAGAAAGCAAGTTGAAGAGCTGTTTGAAAAAAAATACGGTATGTGGTACACTCCTTTCCAAACAATTGCCTCTAGTCCTTTGAAACCATAAATCACAGCTCCTGGGTACACATCTTATTGTTGGCTCAGGAGCTCACCCGTGCTTACAGCACCAAAGGGTTAAATATTGTTAGAAGACTTAAACCTGGGGAAAGTATCTTTTTTGGTGAGCAGAGTAATTTCAAAATTGTGTGCCTGTGTTTGGCACAGAAGTGCGAAACTTGATTTTGTTTTTCAGTTGTGCTCAGTTTCCTGGAGCTCCAGCGTGCTCGTGTCTTGGGCACCCACGTTTGAGAGAGCTGGCCTTTTTTTCTGTAATTGCCCTGAGTCCTTAAATGATACAGTCTTTTAAAATGGCTCTGGGGAAAGGTTACCACTGATTGATTGTTTCTTTCTGATTGTTGCCTCACTGCAATTCAATCATAATTATGTACAGCCTCCCCACAGCCTCCTCCTTGAAAAACTGACAAACTGCAACCTAGATAAGTGGTCTGTGTGGTGGGTGGGGAAGTGGCTGATGGGCCGTACCCAGACGGTGGTAGTAAATGGTCCATTCTCTGACAGCCAGTCACAAGTGGGGTTCCTCAGGGATCAATATTGGGCCTGACACTATTTAATATCTTCATTAATGATCTGGATGTTGGGATCAGGAGCTCCCTGATGAAGTTTGCTGATGACACCAAAATGAGTGGGGTAGCTGACACTCCAGAAGGGAGAGCGACCCTCCAGGAAGACCTGGACAGTCTGGTCGAGTGGGCTAACAGGAACTGTATGAAGTTCAACACGGACAAATGTAAGGTCTTGCATCTGGGAATACATAATCCAAGGATGCAGCTGAGACTGGGTTCTACCTGGCTAGAGAGCAGCCCTGTGGAAAGGGACCTGGGGGTCTCAGTGGATGACAAGCTCAACATGAGCGAACAGTGTGCTGCAGCTGTAAAGAAAGCCAACAGGATGCTGGGTTGCATTAAAAAAGGGAACTCCAGCAGAGATAAAGAAGTCATTATCCCTCTCTACTCAGCACTGGTCAGACCACACCTTGAGTACTGCGTTCAGTTTTGGTCCTCACTATATACAAAAGATGCATACAGGTTGGAAAGGGTCCAGAGAAGGGTCATGAGGATGCTCAGAGGACTGGAAGAGCTGCCATATGAAGAAAGGCTGAGAAAACTGGGCCTGTTCAGCCTTGGGAAGAGAAAGCTTAAGGGGGACCTTATTACCATGTACCAGTACATAAAGGGTGGCTGCCAAGAAGATGGAGACTCCCTTTACACAAGGAGTCCCATGGAAAAGACGAGGGGTAATGGACACAAGTTGCTTCTGGGGAGATCAATCAGACATTGGAATAATTTCCCAGGGGAATTCGTGAATTCCCCTACATTGCTCAGTTTTAAGAGTCAGCTTGACAGGGTGCTGACTCATCTCATTTAAACTGTACTTTTACTTTGAGAGGTTGGACCAGATGATCCTTGTGGTCCTTTCCAATCTGGTATTCTATGATTCTATGATGATCTATTAATTGTTTGGGGGGAGAAAAAGAAGCAGACATCTTAGACCTAGGAATTTGTCTCCAGATGTTGCACCTCTATGTATTTTGTGTCCACATGTCACAGACTAAAAGAGCAGCAGCTCTTTGGTGGTGCTCATCTGCCATGAAAAGTGAAAGTGCTTTCAGAATGGATCTTGTGATTTGGAGTTACTGCATGTTTTGGGTGTGACTATCATCTGACATTTAAACAACCCACTGAAAGCAACTCATACCAAGTAAAACTAGTTCAGAATCTGATTCCCAGTATTTTAATTGCTTTAAAAAGGAGCATTGTTCTCTGTGAATTGCTTTAATTTTGGTTTTGGTGTTTGCACATAGCCAGCCTAAACATCTCCTGTGCAGTCTGTTGAATACAGAGCTATTCTTGACTTTCCATACCAGGACATATGCGATTGAATTATCCCCTTTTTCCCTGTGGATGACAACATTTCACTGATTCACAAACCAATTCTATATCAGCTTTCAATTCTTTCTATCTGTATGGGCATGCCGTTTCCCATTTACTGAAATGAGTTATACAAGTCCAGAATTCCAAGAATGCTCCTCAGATTTGTTGGCATCTGTAAATCCGGTGTCTTACCAATGTCAGTCATTGATACGTGTTACAGCTGACGTGTCTGAAAAGATATTGATTGTCATGTTTGGTTATAAACTAAATGAGATTACTGTATAGTGTACGTACAAGATGGTGCTCACAAATACAGACTAATTTATAAAAATGAAACCTCTATTCAGTAGGATTTCTATGCAAAAACAGGTACGGTTCCAAATCTAGGAAGCCTCACTGCAGACTGGGATGCGGATCATGGTCTTAGGCTGTTTGAAGAGTATTTGCTAAAATGTTTGCTGATTTAAGGGAAATAAAGACTATCACTTGTTAAAACTTACCTGTTGTTATTTTCTTATTTAAACAGACAGGATTTTTGTTACTCTGAAGCTGTTGTTATTTGATGCTGTGTGGTGATCTAGATTTTAGTGGCGTTCTTGATCTTTTTTCCTGTGACTGTGGTCCACAAACACTCGTTTCCATCTGAGGCTCATCTGCTGCATTTGTTACGCTTTTCACCACTTGCCACAATAGCCTCCAGGGCTGAGAATAATTTTAAATATTTCTTAGAAGAGGTATATGACTGCAATAAAAATCTATGTTAATGAAGGATTGGTGTGATACACAGCAGCTCTTTTGGTGATTGTTCTGCAGCCCCTTTAGTGCAGGTTTGGATAGGATTTCTTTAGTCTGTTTGCCGAGAGTCAACCCTCTCTGTACGTATCTGTTCTCTGGTTCCAGTTTTGACCATCTTGTACTTGGCAGTTGAAACCAGGTCTCGTTGAAGCACAGTTCTCACGGTTTTCTAAAATTCTGATACTCGGTTGTCATCAGAATGTAAGACTAAGATATATACAGTATTTCAAAGCTTCCCTGTTTTGTGATAAACATACTTAGAGCTGTTCTGCTTCCAAGTGGTTGAAAGAGGATGTTGCCCAAATGCCTTGAAAACCTACTTATTTTTCTAAGAATTGGTGAGTTAATGTGAGTGATCATTTTGTATACAACGATATTCTGAGCCATGGGCTGCTTGCACGTTACATTCAGTTGCTTGAAAAGGTCTTTTGAGTAGTTTTGTTGTCAGAAATGTTGTCACAACATCATTGTACTCTAGTTTGGCCTTAGCTTGGCCTTCCTCTCCTCAAATAATTCTTTGCATCTAATTTCCATAGCAGAACAACGGGGCGTACCTAACTATTTGTAGATCAGTCAGCTGGTAATAGAGAATTCTTGTTGCGTGGCCTACAAAGTTAACACACCCTTGTGAGCATGAAGTCATCAGCCCACTTGCTATTTGCAAACCATCATGCCGTTTGCCAGCCTGATAGGTGTGTTGATATTATTACTCATAACTTAAAGAAATACATTGAGGTAGTTTTCCAGCTGTTAGTTGCTTGTCATTTGTTTCAAAGAGTTCACAAATAGGGCCATGGTTTTTTCAACTGTGTTAGAAATGCGTTCTTTATTTCTAAAAAAACCTCCCAAAATACAGTGAAACCTCCCTGTAACAGGTGCAGCCTCTGTTTTTAAATGTTTACAGAGTACAAGGAAAAGAGGAGAATCTGCATATGCAGGTCTGAAGCTTGTTTACTGTAAATTGGAATTATTAAACAAACCCCCACATGCTTGCATGTTTAAATATGCTGAGGGGGTTATTGCCTGTCTGCTAATTTTAATGTTTTTCAGAGTGATATCAAACGTATAATTTGAGTAGAGCCACAAGCTATTCTCACGTTTTTATTCTTTTTTCTTAAAGCTCAAGCTATAAAAGCCAAAGGTCCAGTGTCTATCCCATACCCACTCTTCCAGTCACATGTGGACGACTTGTATGTGGAAGGGCTGCCAGAAGGAATTCCCTTCAGGCGGCCGTCCACGTATGGCATTCCCCGACTTGAGAGGATACTTCTAGCAAAGGAGCGGATCCGGTTTGTGATTAAAAAGTAAGGAAGTTTGCTTTTTTGCTCCTGCATTGTTTTGTGCTGCCTCTGCACTGCTTTGTTTTGTCTTCAGGAACTTCCAAACCGACTTCTACTGACACGTTCGTTTGCAGTACTGATGAGTAATTTTTAGCTGATGTTCTCTCTGATAAATTCGGCTTGTCAGATCACCTGAGCACCATGCTGGTAGCTGAGGTCTGGACAGATCTCTTTAGTACCATGGACTTCTTGTCATGGGCAGAACTTTTAGTATGATTTTCATCTTTGTGGTTGAAAGCCATTGATTTGAGAATATTTTATGCTAGCTGAGAATCCTGGCCTAAATTTCATTCTATGCTTTTATTATTCTCTTGCTGGAATGTTGTATCAAGGTGGCTATGGCTATATCTGTGTATAGCATCTCCCAGGGCAGGCTTGAGGCCAAAATAGCTACTAGTTCCTGTGATTTTAGTTGGATGTGTGTCCTTGGTGTGTTTGGAGGTAGATCAGGTAGTATATGTGGAGACCTTAGATGTACGTAGAAACTGCTTGAGGGCTCAGTTGCTTTCCATAGCTAGCCTGACAGGGACATCGTCTGCCTTTAAAGTGAGGACATGAGACTCATGAGATGTTCTAGGCTCCTTTTGTTCTCTTTTTCTTCTTTCTTGCCTTGGTGTCTTCCCTAGAAGAGCCCTAACATTACTTTCAGCCAAGGCAAGTGAGATTGGAAAGGAACCTGGATCAAGCCTGAATTCAGGATGTGCAGGGAGAGATGCCAGCGTCTGTGGATGCCGAGTGCTGGATCTCAGAGCTGCAGAGCCCTTCGAGATCCAGTACTGTGGGTATGACTGTGGCAGACAGATACGCAGCTTTGGTAGTGGGTGGATATTTACCTTTTTTAGTTTGGTGCTTCCCTTCAGACAGATGTGATCTTTCACACCACGGATGGGTGTTTCCAGTTGAAATGAAGCTTCTGTGAGTAACAGCTGATGTTTTACTGTTGTTCAGTGGTGTAGAGCCGAATCCAAGAGTTTTTGAAGTGGGCAGGAATCTACTTGACTGCAATGGTCAGGCTCAGAATTGCTGATAGTAACAACCTGTGCCTCTGTGCTGTCCTTAGCACGGATGCTAGTTTCTCGAATTTGAGAGATAGATGTTTCGTTTCTGTCATCCTAACACTTGCAGATAACCAGAGAAGAGGAGGAAGTATAGATCTACTTTTTGTCTCACTTAAAATCTACACATAATGTCTGATTTTAGTATTTATGCAGTGCTGGCACCTACTTTTGTCAAATTTGTCTTATTTGTTAGCAGTAATTAATTTGTGCTGTTCATGAGCTTTGTAACATATGGTAACTAGAGCAGCAGAAAAACCAGTTCAGCTCTGTGAGAAATGTCAGAATTTTCTTGTTGTTGTTTTGGTTTTTTTTAATATGGCTTAAACTGGTTGTACTTGGGAAGTGGAAATGTCTGCTTTGACATTTTCATTTTTAAAAGGTTAAGTATTTTTATTTGCATCTTTGTTTCTGATGAAGTGCATCTTAGACCTCAGAGATAATTTTAACGTACCCTGTATGTTACCATGAGATGTTGTGACTCAGATGGATATGGGTGTCTGGCATGAAGAAAAGTTTTTGTCAGTCGGGTTCCAACCAGCCCTTACAGTACTTTGGTGTTGATTGGAATTTAGTGTTGGGGGTTGTGATGTTCCCTGTCTGGTTTTTTGTTTGTTTTTGGGTTTGGTTTTTTTTTCTAATCCTTCAGTGATGACTTGAGGCTGTAACTTGTGGTTTATCAAAGTGTACATCACTGTTGAAGCGTGTATCTCAACTCTTGTAGGCATGAGCTTTTAAATTTGGTGCAAGAAGATGTGCCACTGGACAAACCAGCTGCAGGAGGTAGGTCTTCAAACATGTGAGTTGTACCAGTACAATATGATTTCCTATTTGTCAGTCTTAGTGACGGCTACCATTTGCTTTTACTAATAACACATTGCCAATAATTCCTCTTGTTTTGAATTCTCTTTAGCTACAAAGTGACAGCACTTTTCCACTGGCTATCCAAGCCAATGTTACCAATACTAACTGTCTATCAACTGGTTTGATTCAGCTGGCCAGAAGGAAAAGCAGTGAGATAAGTGTCAGTCTGCTGAAATACAGACAGTTCCCTGCCCAGTAAACTCAGTCAACTGCAGAATCTACTGCATTTTTTCTGTATCATGGAATAATTGCTTATATATGGTTTTTGCCAGAATCAGATTAACTGAAATGCAATAATAAACATACTGATTACAGTGACATTTATTATTCTAGAATCTGTCTTGCTCGGATGATAGGACCCCATTTTCGCATAGTAGTGCAAAGACACTGCATTCTAACCACTTTTGCCATCAGAAATACTTCTCAGCAGATGCATGCTCTTACATGTTTTGTCTCCATTGAGCACCCATCCAAAGGTAACAAAAACGACCGTGTTAAAACAAGCCTACAGGAATAGACGTCTGTTACAATTGCACCCAGGAACTCGTTTCCTCTCAAGTTGAGAGATGAAAGTTTAGTATGGAAAAAAAAAATCGAGTTCTGAAATAATTGTGCCTCTGTATGGGCAGTAGTTGGTAAATTCCTTTCCTGGATGTTTTTTTCTCCTTTGTTTTATTCTACTGTCTCTTGGTCTTCAGGGTATTTTTTTTATTTGTCCATTTAAGCTAAATGTGGAAAGATTGTGTGCCTGAAGCAATGGTAGCAAACAACCCCAAAATGCTAACTGACAACCTCAGCCTGGTTGAACTGTGAATTCTTAGTAATACCAGAGAAATTCTTAGTTCAGACAGGGACACACGCATGTAAATGGCAGTATCCGCACTACTGCCACACTTTGTAAACTCATATTCTTCTGTTGTAAAACGCGTATCGAAGACTGTGCTTAAAGTGAACATTAAGGATTTAAATTAAGTATTCAATTTAAGCAAAGGGATTATGTCATAAGGATGTCACTTTAACATGTGTGTAGGAATGAAACTTTTCCTGCAGTGTAAGTTAACCTAATGCCTTGAGTCTTAATAACCTACTGTTCCTTCGAGCACAAGATTTGACTACAAAAGTAGTGGGTAGGCTGATGACTGAGTCTTAAACTTAACTGTACTCTTATGTGGGTTTTTAAATTAGCCCTTTTCTCTGCTGTTTTTGTCATATTTAATATGGTTATACTGATTATGAAGACAAAGCAGGTTCATTACCTATCCCAGAAAACCCCTGTAGCTAGGAAAACTAGTGGTAACCCATTTTTAGGGCACATTATTAGGAACTAATTTGCAATGATGGTTTATTCATGTATGACCTCTGCATTATTTCTGAGAAGACAATATCTGTGGAAGCTGTTGATAACACCTCAGGGAACAGAGCTCAGAAGACAGTCTGAGCCTCCTTTCCCTTGGTTCTCTTGTCGCCCTGTTTGTATTCCCTCTTTCCCAGTAGCTCATCTCCTCTAGTGCTCTGCGTGTCTGCTGCCATCTCAGGAGAGAGAACTATGTAGCACCAGCCCCAGCTCTCAGTTCCTTGTGGCTCCATGTCCAATGTCCTGTGGTCTCCACAGCCCCTGCTACCTTGTGTCCCCAGCAGGAGAGGAGCGGGATGGGTACAGAAATTGTATTTTGACTGGCAGAAGAAAGACGATTTGCATTTGCATTCCTGTGGGAAATAGGCTGGTCAGGAAAGTTTTATGAAATAGCCTCAGCCTGAAGCCCTGAGAAGACTGATACTGGCTCCAAGATAAACCAGTCAGGCAGTGATGGTGTGGCTCAGGAAGTGGCTGGAGAAGTGTGAGCAGGTGCCTTAAGAGGATACCCCAGCCTGGTGCAATGCAGTTACGGAGCAGAAGTTGTTGCTTGTGCATGCTGACTAAACCTACAGTGTGGCAGCTCTCTGGTGACTTGTGGAGACTGATGAGCTGCCACTTGTTGGTCACAAAGGCGTATTCAGAAGAAGAAAGTGATTTGTATGATATGTGCTTTGTTTGCTGTCACCTGACACTGAGGGGACAGACAGGGTTCTTTGAGGGATCCTTGGCAGAATGACAGCACTAAATCATTGTTACGATTAAAGCTTTGTTTTTTTAACAGGATATTATGATTAGTATAACAGAATTTATTATTAGAATGGTACAGGAATTCTAGAAACAGAATCAATGTAGCACAATTTTTAAGTAGCGTAATACAGGATTTATAATACAAATTAATCTATGGTTTCTAGTCACCTAGGCCCTCTGGGTCAGATCTTAATACATGGCTTGCTGTATCAACATAGCAATCATAACCTAGACTCAAAAATGGTACAGAAGAAGACGAATCACTCAGTCCTCAAAGGAAGCAGAGAACAGGGAGGCATCCCTGGCCACAGGGGTCCAGGATGCAGCTCTGGCCACAGTTCCCCCCTTAGGACTTGTAACTGCTTGATTTTATGGGCACTGCTCTGTGTGCTGTTACACTTCCCTGTTCTGAGCTGGGGATGTCGCTACCACTGGGCTGGCCGGGTGCCTGGGACCTTCAAGGCTGGTGAGGAAGGGAGTAATTGCCCTGGCACCCAGGAACCTTGAGGCTGGTAGGGAGGGAAGGAGAAATCTGTTTGGTTTGTCTGCTTGGCTCACAGGACCTTCAGTGCCTGATAATGCAGGGAAAGGGAACGAATGCGTGACCTGCTCTGTCACCGAGAATAGCTGCTTGCCTTGCAAAATGGCTTCAGTTATGCTAACCATATTACTGGGGGTTGGGAGCTAGGGGTACAAGCACACATGACAAAATAGAAACAAAAGCTGTAACCATTCCTACTACCAAATATGACAGCGCTGGCATCATCGCTGTGCTCTGTTGTTCTGCTGGAGGAGCAGGGCTCAAACTCATTACTGTCTTCAGGTGCAAAACTTTGTCTCATGAACTCCAGAGTTGCATGTGTATCAGCCAATAGGCAAAGATGCTCAAGTGATAAAATAATGGAAAAACTGTATTTAATCTTGTTTTCTTGACCAGGATACGCTGATCTACATCGTTGCCACGTGTTGGGTTCTGTGACTAAATTATGACTTAACTTATGTCTTGGATAGTGTCGGCACTTCGGAGAGTTGGAACTAAGCTGCTTGTCATCTCAAGGAGAATGACAAAATCATTTGATGTAGTTATTAATCACCATTTTAAAAGTATTGCCCACGCTGGATGCTGAAAGCTCAACATGAATATGCAGCGAGCAGCGAACTGCTGTGTGCACCCATTGTGAAAACTTGCTTTGGGGTTGTCAGTGCTTAGTGAGAATTCCTTGAAAGCAAGTTTTCATCCCATAAGCCTACCAAATTCTGCACTGAATGTCAAGATAAATTCTTAAGAAACAAAACTGACAAAAAACTAATCCTTTCTCCAAATAAGATCTACAGATTGGAGGCAGATGATGAAAGCATTACAGTTCTTCATGCCAATGTACTGTGTGTATTGTGCGGCAAGTGTGATGTCACTGTTCAGTCTGGTTTTAATATTTGACATTTTTTATAATTCATTTTCCTATTTCCAAGTTGAATCCACACTACTTCCTCATAGTATTTTCTGGGTTACCTGAAAATGCAGGATGGTTATGCATGCTATAAACTGAACAACTGAAAACTGTAACCAAAATAATTAGGGAATGTTGTCTTTGTTCTGTTTCACTCACGCACACAGTGAAAGAGGAGTGGTATGCCAGAATCACCAAACTGAGAAAGATGGTAGATCAGCTTTTCTGTAAAAAGTTTGGTGAGTACAGTATTGTTACTTGCTTTTCTTTTGTGGCTTTTTATTTCCTGAAGGTTGTTTTCATTATTTCCTTTGAGTGTCTACAAGAGTGAGACCTTTGATCAGTTTCTGCAAATATTCAAAATACTGGCAGTTGAGTGAAAAATGTATTACTTTTCTGTTTATACAACAAGGTAAATTCCTAGTTAATAAAACATTCTAAATCTTACATGTACAGCTCTTCTAATTGCTCTCATTTCCTTCATATTTGGACTTTTTTCCTTTGGTGAATAAAACAACCATTTACTTATTTATACCCATTGCAGTATCATTAAAGTGAGTATTAGAACATTTCTGGGTGAATTTTTATATTCTCTCCAGTACAAAAAGAACAGTCAACTTCGTAAGAGCTAGAATAAAGTGTTGCATGATGCTCTGTAATAGATGAAAAACTTTGAATAAAACCACTGTATTATGCCCTGTGATGACCTCAGTAATGTTCAGTCTAGCATTGTGACTGCCCGTGTCAATATGATCCAGTATGGTAAATTGTTATGTTCTTGATGTGCTGAGAGTTGGACTCTGTTAGGTTTCGATATCCTGCGTTGTCCCAGGTTCTAGGATCATGTTTGCAACAGCCTGAAGATTTGGTAGCTTAGCTAACTTCTGAGAGAGGCTGATGGCCAAACTGTCTGGTTACTGGATGTATTTTGTTCTAACAGCCGAGGCCATGGGGGACACTGAGCCTAAAGCTGTTCCCTACCATAAATTTGAGGCACATTCTACTGACCTCTATGTTGAAGGGCTGCCAGACAACATCCCCTTCAGGAGTCCGTCCTGGTATGGAATCCCTCGCCTTGAAAAAATAATTCAAGCAGGCAACAGATTAAAATTTGTCATCAAAAGGTAAGTGTTTGTTCTGATGCCGGAATGTTTGTTTTGTTTTGTTTTTCAACAAACAACCTTTGTGTAACCAAGGACTTGGTTTCATTAAGTCGTGAAGCATTTGGTCTTTAGTTACCAAATAGGCAGATTAAGTATTCTGCATTGTAAGATGGGCATTTGCAATCCAGACAAGTCTTCTGAACTGTCTTTGTAACGTTTTCCAGAAGTATGAAATACATAATAGAAAAATCCACACCGTTCAATTCATGTCATAATAAGTTGTAGTATTATTTAGTTTATGTCAAGGTGGGCAGATTATTCGCTTTCTGTTTGCAGGCCGGAGCTGCTAACTGTCACTTCCGCAGAAGTTATTCAGTGCAAGTCTAACACCCCAGGTAAGACAGGTGCTGCCTCCAAGTGGCAGTGGGGAGGATTGGTGGGGACAGCGATTTGGATCAAAGCAACATTTTTCAAGAAGTAACCCTTCTGTCATTAGTGTGCTGACATGCTCTGCGTGAGGTTTGGAAAGAATAAATTGATGATGATGATGAACACGAGTGGCTTTTGGGATTGTGGTGCAGTCCAGCTGTGTCTGAATAGCAGAATGGATCACCTCATCAGCGTGTTTAACAAAGCACTCTTTACATCCCTGTCCTCTGTTCTAAAGAATGTTCTTGTTATGCACTAGGCTTAATTAATTCCAACTTCGTAAGAGCCCCTAGAATAATTCCTTCCAGCATCTAAAGGCTCTGAAGAGCAAGTTCTCCCACTTGGGTCAATGTTTGAAATCTGTTTAAGCATATCTTCCATTATATAGAGGGAATTACGTATATCATTTAAGCTGCCATTAATAATTATTACTCATTGTGACCTTGTCCACTCAGATGTGATTATGTTGATAGTTTACAAGTTCTCTGTTGAAAGAAATGTGTTTGCATGTAGCCCTTTATCTAGAACTGGGTAATACCCTGACATAGATCCTCTTCTGGTTTTCAGCCAAAGAAGACTGGAACGTCAGAATCACAAAGCTAAGAAAGCAAGTGGAAGAGATATTTAATGCGAAGTTTGGTAAGTTAAATGAACTGTTTTCTAATGCCACTGTGTTTTAAAAGTTGTCTGTAAAAACAGTTTTAAGTTTTAATGTACTTATTTAACTGACATAAATGACTTTATAACAGCATCCTAGGCCATATTTTTCTCCACTTGCAGGACAGAGATGATGATATGTGCATAAAAAGCTTGTGAATGAAAAAAGTTCTTAGAAAATAGTAGACACTGCAGACTTAGATGTTACCTGTTACAAAATGAACAAAGTCACCATTTGCAGTTATTCTACAGAAAATAGTAGAAAATCTGCCTTAATAATTCTCTTGGGTTTTTTTGTTATATGAGTAGCAGAGCTTCTGTAAGGCAAGCTTCTGAAAATCACTTGAGATAAAATACCACCCAATTGTGTGTTAACTATCGTTTTATCTTTATTTTCAGGCGAAGCTCTGGGGCTTTCAGAGGCAGTGAAAGTGCCCTATCCTGTATTTGAATCAAACCCAAAGTACTTGTATGTTGAAGGCTTGCCAGAAGGAATCCCATTCCGGAGTCCCACATGGTTTGGAATTCCACGCCTCGAAAGAATTGTCCGCGGGAGTGGCAAAATCAAATTTGTTGTTAAAAAGTATGTATGCAATTCAGTTATTTTTACTCTTTGATTTTGAAGTTATTTGATTTTCTTCCCAGCAACTTCAGGCTTTAGCTGTAACTTAAATTCTCTTTCCATGAAACAGAAAGAACATCTTCAGTGTATGTTTTATCTCATAAAAGGATATTCCTTCCTTATTAAACTTATGTGTAACTTGCATGTTTTGTGCATCAAGGATCTAGGGGGGAAAGATGGCCTTCTACCTGAAAGCTTTTTTAGTTCTTTTTTCCCCTTCTTTTTGCTTGAAATATACCCAGAAGAAAATTACTGAGTAGAAAACGTCACTTTGTATTTTCTAACTTTTTTTGTGGTTGTAGTAGTCGGAGTCAGCCCTGCTTCCAGCAGAATTTCATTATAGAGAGCTGATGTTACGTAAATTGGAACTCGGCTGAATTCCAAGAAATTTGTAACATTTTGCTGTATTATTTTTCAACTTCTAGACCTGAACTTGTCACTTCCTATTTGCCTCCAGGACTGGCTAGTAAAATAAACACTACAGGTAAACAGTTAAGTTTTATTTGCTGCCATCAATTAATAAATAGTTGACTTTCTGCTTCCTCAGCAGACTGAGAGATCTTTGTGGTTGACAAATACAGCTGTTGCAAACAAAAGGCATTCTTACAGATCATCTAGCATAGTAGCCTCTAAATCTGCTATTGATTTATCTACTTTTTTTTCAACTTAAAGCTATTTCAATACAGAAAATGGAATTTACCCAATTTCAGCAACTTTTATTTTGCTATTAATGGCCTAAACCATATTTAACTTACAGCTGTGAACCAAAGTAAGTAACAATGAAGTTTTGTAAGAAAAGAATAAAACAGAAAGTCTTTTAAATTGTCTTTTAAAAATCCAGAAGTTAATAATTTTGTTACTTAGATAATAAAATGTAGCAAAGCTTTCCCTCACAATTGGAAACAATGAAGTTTTCTGTTCTGCATTAGTGAAGTGAAAATTTAGGTGCAATACTTGCCCTTTTCAGGAGTACTGAACCTACTTTTTAAGGCTGCACATCTCACTCGATTGTTTAGATTTTGCGATGCAGACCGTACTTATAAAGATACAAGTGATTCTTCAGCCTGTCCGAATTTTCTGAATACACCTCTGTATTCATTAGCTGTGCAGCATATACGTTATAGAGGGTTTGTGCATTACAGCTTATATTATATTGACTTCCAGCAACTAGTCCAAAGAGCTCAAGGCGGTCACAAAGTCCTGCAGGAAATTCAAAAGTCCCAGAGATTGAAGTTACTGTTGAAGAAGGTATGGAAGAAATATTAAATATTCTTCTAATGTTCTCCTATTCCTCTAATGTTTTCTGTTCTCCATTTTCATAGCCTATAATTAACTTATACATGCACCTCATGTAGCATACTCAGTTTCGTTTGAGGACTTTGGATACACTTTAATATAGAGAGTTTTATTTTTCATTTCTGAATAATGCTGGGTTCTGTGCAGATGATGGTTCTGTAAAATGTTGGAGTTTGACACCTTCTTGGGCCTTTTATTCCACACAGAGATGTGGGAACTGCTGCAGTCCTGAGCACAGAAATGACAGCTGTAATCAGTAGTATCAAATGCTTAAATACAACCCTAGAAGAACTTCTTAAGGGTTTTTTTTAATTCTACTCTTTTCAGAAGTTGTTTTCTCTAGTAATCAAGTTTGTGTTGTTCTTTTTGTGTGATGGCTTACTCCTGCTCTCTGCATGTATATATTTAATGTCTCTTTACAGATCCTAATAAGCCACAAACAACAGTTGTTCAAACTAATCCTCCAGCCAATGGGTCCAATGTGAATTTCAAGCCACGAGCAAGAGAGTTTTCTTTCGGTAAATATTGTGGGAATTAGCACGCGTGCATTCCATTGATGTTGGTACCGAAACTTCTGATGATTATATATCAGAGATATTTTGAATTTATGTTTTAATGTACAGTTAGTGAATGACTGCAGTTCTTGTTTTCAGGTACCTTCAGCTCTTCATCATGTAGAGTAATACGCATTGGAGAAATCCTGGATGATGTATGGGGAATGCTGTACAAATGCAGCATGGGTCCATTAGATCTTAATAACTTGGGCTGAGAATTTGACTTTGCTGCTGTGTTATTTCACAGTGTTGCTGACCCTTGAAGGACTTGTCTGGTGCACAGAACCACCAGAGTGCATAAATCCAGCTGAGATGTGGTACTGTGCGTAAGCTTAATAAGTGCTCTACAAACTTAAAATATTGAGCATCGCTGTGCAGAGGTACCCAAGTAGGAACTAGGAAGGATCTAACTGGTATGAGTAAGCCACAATCTATCGGAATTGATATTGCAAGATTGCTTTTATAGACCTCTCCAGTTCTGGAAAACACATAAAGCCAGACAGGACTGGAAGCCACGCAGTTGTGTTCATGAGTGTTGAGCCAGAGCTTTTTAACCAGGAGCACCAGGAGCACTGCGCAGTGCTTTAGCATGGAAATCTTTGCATTGAAAGCAGGGTCAATTTGCAGCCCAGATAAATTCCTTACAGTCAAGTGAGATGAATGACCGTATTCAGAGTAGCTGTAAGCAGTTTTCAAGTCTCATTAAACTCTTTTGGTCTTGGTTGTTTTTTCAGCATCATTACATTTTGAGTTTAGTTGCTTGTATTTTTATAGGAGTTTGTTGCTGTGTTTTTGTTTTTTTTTTTATTTATCTCCCAAGTTTTCTATAGAGCCGTATGGTAATTTAACATGAAACAAAGGAACTCTTTAGTCCTACTGACCCAATTTAGAGAGAATATAAGATGCTGATTTGGTAGAACCGCTCCTTTTGGCATGGGCGGTATTCCTATTCACGGTTGTGTACAGGGTTTTTTTGTACTATCTTGTTATTATTAGACCTAGGCTTGTTTTTTTGTGTTTTTTTTAAGCTCTAGTCTGCAGCTTTTTTAAACGTTGATCTGAGGTTTGAGTTTTATAGACCAGCTACGGACCGCGTACTGCAGCCTCAGTTAAACCGACGTCGGGATTGCTGCTGATAGCTGTCACAAACAGAATGCTTAGCTAGATGCACATTTGATCTTACCCGCTCAAGTCGAAGTTATGATAGAGCTTCTAGTTCTCAAGAGAAAGGCAAGTGTTTCAGGGCTATGTCGCTAAACACACCGAAATTTCCGCTGCTATTTGAGGTGCTGGTTCCGATGAGTAATTTTTATGTTGCCCGATATTGTAAATTTGGATAACTTGGATTAACGTCCGTTTGAATCATCCTTGCTGTAGTCAGCAGTATTTTTCAAAGCTCATGTGGACAGATGTTTAGACTGCAGCAGAATGTTCCAGTGCCATTTGCAGAATGGTAGCCATTTTTTGCATTTTACTGTCATAGTAAATTGGTTATCAAGCATAGTAATTTATTAAACATTTATTAAAGTGTTCTTCAAGGATTCATTCACAGTGTGCATGTTGATTTAATACTTCCAATTTCCTCCTGGCAGAGGCGTGGAATGCCAAAATTACTGACTTAAAGGAGAAAGTCGAAAATCTTTTTAATGAAAAATGTGGTAAGTTTATTGATTCTTTTTTACTGGGATGCTTTTCTTACACACATGCACTTAGACATAAGATAGATATGTTCACATGTTTATTCCAAAGGTTCCGCAATCCCTGTGTGCAGTCTCTCATTTGAGTTCATTCTCATGTGGGTTGCTTGCAATTTTTGTCACATTTTCACTAGTCATTTTATTTGCGTTTGGAAATGGAGAAGTTGTGGTTGGATTACTACTCTTTTAATGACCCAGAGACATAGTGAATCCACATCCTGGCACGTCTTTTAAGTTTTCCTCGCTCTGCGTACGAACAGGACTCGATATTTTATGGATGGCATCTGCAGAGATGTGCTGCACTGTATCCCAGTGCTGCTTCTAGTGCAGGCTGTTTGGAGCTAATGACTTTTGCAAGCAATGATTTCTCATTACTCTTCTGAGCACAGTTTTTGGGACAAGAACACTAAGCTCACCTGTCCTTGTTGCTGTTCTCTAGCAGAGACAGACAGAATGCATTGCCTGTAACAAAGTGGAGTACAAATGGGATAGCCTTGTATGCAAGCCCAGACAGTGGCATGAGCTGGCTGCAAATTATTAATTTCCAACCACAAATTACGATCAGATTTACTGCAACAGAATGAGCTGTGTTTGAGTCTGTTCATTAATTTTCTTCTCCAAAAAAGGCGAAGCCTGGTGGTTCCACCTAATCTAGTTTGGACATGCCAACTATCATATACTGTTTGCACCTGAGGTTTTCCTTTTTGTACACACAGCAGGTACCTAGCAGGTAGCTTATCTGCTCTGTTGCATTCCAGGGGAAGCGCTGGGGCTGACTGAACCAGTGAAGGTGCCGTTTGCATTGTTCGAATCCTTCCCGGAGTTTTTCTACGTGGAAGGCCTTCCTGTGGGAGTGCCATTCCGCCGACCTTCTACTTTTGGAATTCCAAGACTAGAGAAGATCCTGAGAAACAAATCTAAGATAAAATTCATTATTAAAAAGTAAGACTCACGTATGTCTTTGATAATCTGTTCTTTGAGAATTGAAATGTAGACCAAAAAATAAAATGGTGTGAACGAGTCGCTAATATACTCTATAAAATACACACTGGAATATTTTTAGTAAATGAGGAAATGGTCAGAAAGCTCTTGTAGAGATGGAGCAAGATAAGGGTAATCTCTCTTTGTTCTGAAAGACACTCACAGCTTGTTTTGGGAGGAAGGGCAAGTCCAGATTTCTTAGCCCACTTCAGTTACCATATCACTGGTTTAGTTCCTACTGTGTGGACCACATATGGATTACTCATAAAATTTGCTGGCAGTGTAGAGAGCTGAGAAGTGGAGATTCATATATTGGGGGTTGTAAAAATTGCCTTGTCTTGTCCAGAATGGATTTAGATACCCATGGGCCGGTGTAAAAACAATGGCAAGAGAAGTTGTGGAGACTCTCAGCCATCGCATTCTTGACTGTCTATTTGGCTGAGAAGAATATAGCATTTACAATATCATTTAGCACCTATCTAATAAATTAATATTAGAAAATTGCATTTTCTTTAAACTTGATGAATGTAATTTTATTATTGTACATGAAATATTCAATCTTTTGCAGGCCTGAGATGTTTGACGCAGCTCTTAAGGAAGGTTCTGCTAGAAGCCCCCAAAGTGAGTTTTGCAACTGCTTAACATTCTAAATAAGTGTCCTTCAGGGATTAAATACAAACTGGGAGTGCTGCATGGTGTTAACAAATTCCTGAAAGATTCATTCATACATTGTCATTGGTTGGTTTGTTTGCTTGTTTGTTTTTAAGATGGGAAAATAACTTACCAGTTACAGTTTAAATACAGCTTTAGCAAGCAAGTATTAAAATTTAAGTTATTCCCAATAGCCATGCCTCTAATGTATTTTTTACTACCTTTTATCAAAATGCAACAAGCAAGGTGTGATTCACAGAAGAAATTCAGGTCTAGAAATACATTATTTGCTCGTGATACGTAGGTCATCTAAATGAGAAGTGCTCCCCAGATAGGAGTGCAGAGGTAGGGGATTAAATGTTTTGAATCATACTATTATTTGCTACTAGGGGTTGGCAAAACTCTACAGTTAGTTGAACTATACTGGTTTATGCCACTGGGCAGTGTGGCTCACAAATAACTGTAAAGGATTTCTTTTGTGAACGCTCCCAATGAACACATGGATCAGTTTGTGTTACTGAACTAATGGCAAGTGCTATGATTTTTCTGTTAAAAAAATACCAAAATACATGTTCCACATAGGCTTTTTTTTTGACTTTTCTTAATAGATTTTTTAGAAAACCAGCAAGGAAAACATTGACATTATCTTTAATGTAGCCCTTTGTCTTCGAAAGAGAGAGTAGTGTGTAACTTCAATAAGTATGTCTCATTGGAAGCTGAACCCATGTTGAGGATGGCATGGGGTCTGCTTTGAAATGTTTGCAAATATCTGTTATTTCACAATATTTTCCTTAAGTATGACATTCATTATTTTTGAATCTTGATTTTTTTTTTTCTTTACAACTGCTTTATAAAATTTATTCTCTTACTTTTAGGAAAAAATAATTCATCTAATATAGCCAATACAGCAAGCACAATAACAAAACCAGTGGTGAACACAGCTGCACGTGTTGAAGATCTTAACATCATTCAAGTAACTATACCAGGTGTGTATAATATCGGGTTTCCCATCATAACATCATGACGCTTTTTTCGTCTGATGAAGTTTCTTCCTGCAGTTGAGCTGGTTCACTGAAATACAGGTCCAGTCTACAAAGACCATAATGTAGCATTCTGTTTTTCCTGAGGTGTTAAATATTTTCTAACTGTCACTATTTAGTGATATCTCTCAAATATTCTTGCTCCAGTCTCTAGTGTAGGAGTATCCATATTTTTCCCTTTTTTCTCATGTAGTAAATAGTGATTTGCATCTTTCTTGGCGACTTCAAGACATCAATACTCAGACTGCATTTGATAACCATGTAGGCTGAACTCCTTTGTCTTAACTCTGGTTACTACTTTCTCATGTATATATTGCAGTTGTTAGAAACCGTGAGGAACAATATAGCTATCTATTGAATTACACTTTGCTTTTACCTTTCCCCACCATTATACGTACTGTGAAAAATTAAAATACAAATTGAGGTTTTAGATTGAATTTACAAAATCATCACTAGACAGTAAATGTATTGTTGACTGACCCAAGGGTCAGTCCTGGGGCCAGTATT